GGAACAGAGGGCGGCGCACGGCGCCGCACTGCCAGAGCACGGCCGCAGTAGTGGAATTGCTCTGATTGACTAGAACGGGACCGATTTTGCTCCGGCGTTCGTGTCGGAGCGGAGCGCAGCGGAGCAGAGGTAGTGGAATTTGGGGGTTAGGGTTGTCACAGTGTGAAAATTTAACCTCACGGTTATTGTGACCAAAATTACCACGGTTTTCGGTATTATCGCGTTTTTTTTTAAACATGCTACATTTTCACACAATTAAATAAACCCTGTATATCAGGAAAATATTGTCCTTAGTTTGTGTCTAAATTTTGCCTAAAATGTGTTATTTTGTAATTAAGTTGTTTATTTGTTTACATTTTCCCCTTCAGTGTTTAAAATACCAATATTTGCCCATAACTTCTTATTTTATGTCTGTTTGATGTCATCATTTTAAAAATATTAGATCAGATGATACTCAGTACTCAAGTAGCCTTCTAATCAGATACTTTTTTAGCCTTACTTGTAGGGCTGCAACAAACGATTATTTGGATAATCGATTAATCGGATGGGGTCTTGACACGATTAATCGATTAATCGGATTACATGGGGAATTTTTTAAAAACTGCTAGGGAAACGTTATTTCTCTCCTTCCTTCACTTTATTTAAAGAGCAAGTCACCCCCTACAAGAAACGTACTTCACTCCCACTTCATGTTTGAAAAATGCAACAAATGCTGTTGCTTGGCAGACCGAGAGGGCGGAGCCGCTAACAAATACAAACACACACAGGCTCACAATGGAATTATGACATCATAATATACCAGATGACATCATAGCATACCTCTTAGCCAATAGCGGTGGCAGATTTAAATTCAAATACAGTGCAGAGTTTTTCCCTGACGACGGCGCAACACTGTCAGTTTTAGGCAGAATATTTGAATTTTAACCAAGATGCACTGAACTGCCAAATTATTGACGACACGTGTCTGTAGCATGATTAGACACTCCTTTATATAGTTTATCAGCAAAAAAATGTGATTTGGGGGTGACTTGCTCTTTAACACAACATTATTAGAAAACAGTTCAATAGCAGAAAAACAACATGCCATCACCTAAATTGTCTTATAAGGTGTATAGACAGAGACCCTAAGCTACATCTATCTGTGACCTAAAATGCTTGGTCCAAGTTAAACAGCTTAAGGGCAATTCTCATCTGTTTTGTTTGATCTCATCTGTTGACATTTATTTTAAATGTAATTAAACATAGGCCGTGAATTAATCAAAATTGATCACTATTTCCAAAAATGACTGAAAAAATACCAAATAAAACAAAAGTAAATGAATGCCATCCTCCTTGCGATGATGCCCTGGGCAACTGCCATAAAGTCACATCAAGAAATGCTGCTGATCATTCCAATGATCCCAAATAGACTCACATTAGGCCACATGAAAGCAACTGAACCCAAAAATATATTAACCAGTATATAACTGCACTCTCACACAACACGCCTGCAGCAACAGTTAGTACTCCTCCCTCCCTTTTAAAAGCGTTTTTGCTTCTGAGGACATTGTGGTTGTAAAACCACATGCTAGTCTGGCCCCGGTGTGATCAACCAGTTTCTGCGGGAATGTGACGGCGGAACCAGGGCCAGATTAACACTTTGTTGTACCCTGGGCAACAATATTCAAGGGCTCCATCATCACGACCCAAGGATCACCATAATGTGGTCACATACAGAATATTTTACTGTAATATGCAGTAAATATACTCAATACTTGAATGCCTGACAACACGTAACCCGCCCAAAGTAACCTTTGACCCACCTCGTGTGGACTGACCAATGAGGAGAGGGTCTTAACTTGAGGCCCTCTCTTCATTGGTCAGTCTGCATGAGACTGACTCTCAACTGACGTTCAGTCGTAGGCAGCGAAGCGTCTCTGTGCAGCGCAAAAGCCCGGGTGGACAGTTTGTTTAATGTAGGGTGACCATATTTCCATTTCCAAACAAGAGGACAGGGATCTGTGCCTATGACGTCACACTATGGCAACGCCACACAAACCATGTTGGGACCCATTTTTTGTAAGAACTAAATTAATATCAGATTCTGCCAATTAAAGGGCTCTAAAACAATTCATATGTAAATATTTTGCATATTTAATGCAAAATCTAATTTTTCTGCTTTAGTGCTGCAACAAGGTTTTATTAATAATAAATTATTATACCTTTTGTTTTACTACAGCATCGGTAAGCTTCCTGTGCACAGATTATTAAGGATGCTTGTTTCAGCTGTGAGATTAGACGATAGGATCAATGAAAAAATAAGTTGTCACACACTCCATGGAAACTTTCAGAGAATCCACAAATAGTGGCTTTCAAATGGTTTTGTTACTTTTTGCAAGTTTATAAAAGAAGCAGATGAGACAGCATGTCTGATAATTTAGTTTTTCATCTGATAATATTAGAACATGTCAGTAATGTCTGAGGGGCTTTTATAAACACCGTATAACTAACACTACTGGAGAGGGCATGAATTACACAGAGGCTTCTGGGGAGCCCAGTTATTGGGGGGGTGGGGGGGGGGCATTTTGCCTTGGCCCCCAAAATGTCTTGAAACGGCCCTGGGTGTGTGACTGAGTTTTGAAGGTGATCTGAATTGTATCAGATGTATAAATATTACATGTGTATAACTTATTGTTTTTTACTGGTAAAAACGTGTAGTGGAGATAAATCTACCTACATTTTACTTTTCAACACTTTGTTTTGTTTTCTTGTTTTTATTGAACTATTTTCCTGTCCTGTCTGTCTCTCATCTTCCTGCATCTCCTCTTAATTCTCCAGAAAAACTGCTGCCTGGATTCTTACCTTTTCACCTCATCAGTTACTTTTGAGCAGATCAAAGGGATCTCCTGACCATAAAGCGGAGAGCGCGTTTTCGATGCTGCGTGAGGTGAAATCACCGCAGCACAGGTGATGAGCTCCGCAGTAGCGCGCTTCAGGCACAAATAAGACAGAAAATAGAGAACATGTGCGGACATGAACGATGGTGTGCTAATTATAGTTTTTTGGTTGCGCCACTTTGAGAATGGACCGTGCGCTGGAAGCAGCTGCCTGGATCGCTGTGCAACAATGCGGAACCGGTTCGCAGCAGCGCAAGTCTGCCGGCTCTCCCTCACGCTGATCTGCGGCTCTCCCTTGCGCTGATCTGCCGGCTCTCCCTCGCGCTGATCTGCGGCTCTCCCTCGCGCTGATCTGACTTGCTCTGGTCTGCGCGCAACGGCGGGCGGGAAGGGGGGTGGGGGGTGGGGGGGTGGGGGGACGCTTTTGGAAGAGTTGTGCGACACAACGAATCGATGACGCAATTCGTTGCCAACGCTTTTAGTAATCGATTTTCATCGAATTTATCGATTCGTTGTTGCAGCCCTACTTACTTGAGTAATAACCCCTATATCAGGAAAATATCGTCCTCGGTTTGTGTCCTTCCAGTGAGCTTTGCAGATGTGGGAAAATGTCATCAGGCAGTAATCATTGTTAAATTCATAATTATTCTCGGAGAGAGACCAACTCTTATCTGCCCCTGGGAGCCCCGTAATGCATAGCGTCATTTCAACATTGGGTGTCCGCGACACGGTTTATATGCAGGTAGCGGCGCTGCGGCTGCTTTATATAGCGACTCGTTGCATTCTCCCTCAACCCAAATCCTCGGATCACGCATTTTAGCTAAAACGCTAACGTTAACTTGCCTTGCGTTGACTGTAGAGTTGTGGGTGATGGTCACGCAGATGTGTCATGAGATTTGAAGCGTTGCTGCCTTTCACAGACACTTTTTCTGCACGTGCTGCAAACAGGATAGCCGTCCGTCTTCCATAAACTCCCTCGGCATTCTTCAAATATCTAAAAGATGTCTGTACTTCCGACTTTGTCTTCTTTGAGGGATAATAAATGTCCTCCTGAGCGCTGCCGTCTCCTCCTTTGACCATTATTTCAGCTTTAGCTTCAAGAAAGTTTTGTTGTAAACAACAAAGTGCGCATGTGCCGCCGGCAACTTCAGCCGATGATACGGTGGCTGGTAAGGGTCACCGCGCCTACACCGCAGCCACGGTAACCCACCAAGATAATATAGTTTTTTTAAAAACAAGACGGTTATTATTGTCAACTTTTTTTCTTTTTATTTTTTTTACCAGGGTTTAGCGCTACACTGGTTACCGTGACAACCCTACCTGATTGGTTTGCTCTGATCTATTTTGAAAATTCCGATCAAAACCGATAGGGGCGCTATCGGCCGATTACGATCAAATGCCGATCCATCGGTGCATCCCTAGCGCCTTTCAGAGTCAGGGGAATCCAAAGTGCTTGACACTACAGTGTATCATTCACACACACACACACACACACACACACACACACACACACACACACACACACACACACACACACACACACACACACACAGTAAGGTGCTGGAAAACCTGGAAACTCCGCTGAAAGTGTTTGTATTGACTTGGACAAAGATGTAAGGAGGTGTTTTAGTTGTCCCACCCTTTTACAGCTCCTAAGTAAGCTAGGGTTGTTTCTAAACTAGCTTTGACTTGTTAGCTGTTTATTTTACAGATGGTTTGGTTTAATTTGCTTCATTTGCTCTAACACCACATCCCTCCTCTCAACATGAATAAACGGATGTGGTACTTCACTTAAAAAGCGACTAAATCTTTATTAACTTTTACTCCTGGTGTTTGTCCTGAAATAAAACCCAAAAGTAGATGTAAGAATACCGCATCTCTCGTGTTTTGGTGCATATTTATCATAGAAACCTTTACTTTAGTGACGTTGTTTACATCAGAAACTCTGACTTGTATTACTGGAGAATGTAATCGAGTAAATGAACCCATCTGTAAACACTTGAAATTGAATAACTTCCTGTTATTCGTTCGGCTTGTTCCACCACAACCGTTATTACGTTTAACCCGTTATTAGTGTTCTACTATAACATAACAAGTAAAGGAGATTTAGACAAAAATACTCACAGTCCAGACGAACACTAAACACGCTCTCCCATGTGTTCTGCTCCCGGCACAGTTTACGGCACAAAGCCGTAAGTGAACCTTGGCTGTCGCAAACTGGTTTATCCCAAGTTCCCAAGTACTAGCCGTATGGATCCAACAAATGTATCTGTAACGTTTTTGATAGATTTATAAAATCAGAAATACTATTAATATTTTATCATTGATATAATATTAATATCATTAATATTTTAATGATAATTTAAATATAATCAAAGTATGATGCTGTTGCCCTATTTTTACAAATACCATGCCAACTTTATTTATATATAAAGCACATTTATTTAAAAACGGCATGGCAGCCGACCAAAGTGCTGTACAGATAAAAACATAAAAACAAAAACACAATCAATAATAAAAGTACACAACAAAGCAGTACAATCACAGTCAATAAAAGAATACATAATAAAAATAATTAATAATTAGTAAACATATCGTTACAGTGAGCATGAAATAAACATTTTTAGCTTTAAATGTTTCCTTCGCGTTTGTCTGTAATATTTGTTATTTTGATTTTATCCGTTTAGCTTCTCGCCTGCTGGTTTTGCTCCAGTTGAAGAAACAGCAGCGCTGAAATAAAAAAATAACTACATTACCCAGAATCCTTCACAACGAGAACCCGTCACTGCTCGTGTTACATCGTTGCCTGGCAACATGTTCATCACGGGACAGTTGGTCTGAGCCCAAGTTCACCTTATCGATAACCTTATTAACCCTAACTTAACTTTATCGAGAAGAGCGCAGCGGGGAGGATTACAGCTTAGTCTTTGTTCATGAGTGACTGACGTGTAATGAGAGAGAAGCGATGAACTGAAAATACTTTTTTTTTTTCTACAGATAAAAATTGCGGAAAGTCAATGAAATGATGTCAGTTGAAGGTTTCCTCAGAGGAAAAGTTGAGAAACCTGCTTCCCAACTGGAAGGTAATGTAGACTGCATTTTACAAGTCACAAATACGCGTTTTCCTGTCAATTTTAGTCAAAAGTTGAAGCAACAATTTAGAGACTGCGCTAGCAGGAAGTTTGCTGCTGGTGCTAAGCTAACGCTTTTTGAAAAGCTAAATAACCGCGGTGAAGTTCGCTTGAAGTTGGACGTCGGATATTCGACAGACAATGGTTCCCACAGTCAACGATAAAGTCTTCACGCCGTGCGCTGCGTCACAGACGGCGGTTAGCTGAGCTCTAATGGGAACGGTGGTTCGCTTAGGGACCATCAACAAATTTGTAGTCTTTTGTAAACGAGTACCATGAATAATCAAAAGCTTCCAGAATAATTGCCTAAATTACTCAACATTACTTCTGAGTTGTGTTACTAAACTACATTTACAAGACACAGCAGTTTTATAATAATTCACAAAATCTGATCTTTTTTAATAAATGTTTTATCCAAAATGAAGGGGCTGTTTTTCAATACCTCATAGGTTAATTTATTTTAATATCCAAAACCATCTCTCAATAATGTCAATAATGTAGACCAATGAGACACGGCAGTTTTTTAAATTATTTCACAAGATCTGACCTTTTTTATTAGGAATTTGATCTAAAAATAAACAATTTCTTTCAATACATCCTAGGTTAATTGATGTAAACACCCAAAATAATTTCTCCATCATCTAGCTTAGTAAAACCACCGAGAAATGGTTTTGAGTATTATAATCAATGAACCTAGTAGCTATTAGAAGACTGAATTTTTGATAAAAATCCTAATAAAAAAGATCAGATCTTGAAAAATGTGAAAACAAACACCTGTGTGTTATTGGTTTGGCTAAGTAACACCATTGAAAAATGGTTTTAGGTATTCAGGCTGATTTCCTAGGAGCTATTGAAAAAAATCTCATCTTTTTGGATAAAAATTGTAATAAAAAAGATCAGGTTTTGTGAAATGTTATTAAAACTGGTGTGTCTTGTAAATGTAGTTTAGCAACGCAACTCAGAAGTAATTTTGAGTCATTTAGGCAATTTTTCTGGAAGGTTTTGATTTTTTTTGTTCTCATTTACAAAGGACTACAAATTCGTTGATAGTCCCTAAGCGAACCACCGTTCCCATTGGCAGTCATCGGAACTCAGCTAACCGCCGTCTGTGCCGCAGCGCACGGCATAAAGACTAATCTCTGACCGGGGGTCGAATATCCAACGTCCAACTTCAAGCTAACTTCACCGCGGTCAAAAAATAAATGAAAACTGGGCCCTTAATGCTTTTTAATTTAGTTAGTTTGAATACTGTTATTGTTTTCCATTTATTCTGATCAAGAAGCAACTTGCTTCTTGCTTCAAGCAAGTCATCATAATTCTGCACAGAGAACCAAATGCCTCCCATAAGGAAGTGTGGGGCTGGCTGGCCAGGCTACATCTGAAATTCACTGAAAAATCTCCAAACCTTTTTAAAATTCATTAAAGCTTTTATCAACCTACAGACCAGGTTTAGAGTTTTAATCGACCCACAAGACCTTCAGCTTTTTCCATTTTTTAAAAAATGTTTGACCATTTTTGTAAAATCAAATCACAATTATGATCTTCATGGAAATTTCACAAAAATCTAAATTTTCCAAACTTCAGTTCACATCATCTGTTACCAGATTTCTCTATCACAGAAGCTTTTTCAGGTCTGAAGCAAACACGTTCTCACTGCACCTTTTGTACCACTGACACGATGGCCTTCACCTTTCCATGAGCCGTCAGTCAATAAATCACCTAAATCTTGGTAATAGAGACAAACTCAACAAATCTGTTGAAATCATTTGACGTCCGATCGATGTTCATTTGTCTTGTAGACTTTTCTTCTATACCTTTGCTGAATTTGTTCCTGTTGCCTAGTCGTTCTGGTTCTGCTCATCGTTGGAACAGTTTTAGGCCTGAGACTTGGTCTTTTATTCTCCACTCATCCACTTTCCTTAAATAATGTTAGGTTAAATAATGTTGACTTGGGCTGATGTAGAAATTTGTTTATGGCCGATAACCAACATTATATTATATACATCACCCTATATTTTTGACACCAGGTGAAATGGACCACAGCACTGACATTTCATCTCTGCTTCAGTTAAACACCCTCACCATCTTCACTGCATCACCACCACGCCTAAACAAATATCACACACACCCTGAAACACGCACATAAATGGAAACAAGAACATCAGTTGTTGATATCAGTCCAGTTTTACTTCTCAGACTGATACCAATTTATTAAAAAGTGACCAACATGGGCCAGTATCAACATTGAAGCAGATATATCATCTATCCTTAAAAAATAAACAAGTCCACATGGCGCTCTATACCAAGAGATGTGCCGTCAGCTGTGTGAATGGTGAACTGCTCTCAGAGGCAAAATCCACCACCGTTTGAGGATCTGATGTTACGGAGCGTTTAAGGGGTTGGTCCGGTCTTTAACTCTCGCCATAGAGTTTATTTTCTAATGATAGAATCTTATTGGTCGTCACAGGTGACTGAAACCTTTCTTCTTGTGACAGGATGTGAGACCAAACCCCCAGTGATGCGTCAGGAGGCTGAGAGACAGTCGCAGGAGATTCCTGCTGATAAGTTCTACGAGTACGAGAAGCTTCACTCGAGGCCGTTTGTCTTACCTGAGTCTGAGATCCCAGAAGACCTGCTGCACCTCCAGTATCCTTGTCTGCAGGGATGTGTATTGTTGAACTTCTGGCAATACGATACATATCACGATACAGGGGAGACGATACGATATATCACGATATATTGCAATACATTCAGTCAGACGTTACAAGCAATTTTTTTTACTGAATTTATTGTAAGAATGTTCAATAAACTGTCCAAACTGATACGTAACATGTTTAACATGAGGTATCTGACCCATGATGGAGGGATTTACATTTTAAATGGTGGAAACAAAACCCGTTGCACACTGCTGCCAACTAGCGGGTGGCGATTGAATTGCACAAAACGAAAAGAAAATACACAAATGTTTGCATGTAAATTCTTTCAAAGATTAGATACACGGCTTTTGAATATCAATGTAATAATCGCAGGAAAAAAATCTTGATATATTGCCATATTGATATTTCCGATACACAGCTTTTGAATATCGATATAATATTGCTGGAAAAAATATCACGATATATTGCCATATCGATATTTTCTTACATCCCTACTTGTCTGTGGAGCCGTTCTGTGGATATTTACATCACACGTTCAACGTTTTGTTGTTCCATATTAGCACTCATCTTTAGAACATCCCAGCTCTCCATGAGCTGGGTTCCAACATCAGCGTAGTTTTTCCAAAGTCACTTCTCTCCCCCTGCACGTTCACCATCCAACAATATTACGCTTGATTAGATGGACACTGGTGGAGCACTAGGACCAAGGGGAAAACAACCACTTGTGTTGAAGCCTGTTCCCCATAAGAACCGCCCATAAGCTCATCTATTGGCTCTGCTGATTCTTGCTAACGTGTGATTGGCTGTTCCTGCTGTCACTCTACGTAGTAAACAGGACGCGCTTACTATTTTTTCTAGTTTGCCAGCTGTCAGGGGGTATTCCAGAAAGCAAGCTTAGAAGATCAGGGATCTCCTGAAAAATCCCTGCTTGACAAAGCGCTCCCCTCCCTTCCCGGTTTTATCGGCTCCACAAACGATTCTCAGGTGGATTCAGTCCCCTATCGGCAACCAAGGCTCACTCGCGTCCATAGGCAGACCCTGTTAATCGATGCTAGATAAAAGACAATGGAAGTAAAGGACACAGCTGTGTTCTTCATCCAGACGGAGCAGTAATTATTCACTCATGCCTACGACGACCGCACAGATATCAGAACTACAACAGAGACCACCAGCTGTTTGAATAAAGCAGTGTAGCTGGAGCTGTTTAGTTAGAATGCTCAGCGTTTACACGTTTCCATGGTAACGCCGGAAGTCAGCGCTTGTTTCTCCACATGTTTTAATAAAGTTTTCATCATCTATGTGTGGTTTTCATGTTCTGCCCCAGAGTCTGGATGTTTAGACTTTGTTTCTGCTGAGCAGCTGTGAGTTTTAAGAACATACGTTGGTGGTGGTCATGTGACCCTGAAGTTAACTCTGGAAACCGTTTGTCACAAATACACATTTAGCACATATATTACACACGGAGGATGA